TGTATAATTCAAAAAAGTAGAGGCTCTTTTTCCTTATGTCATATTAATAACAAAGAAAGATATCACTTGGAGATTTTGTATTGAATAGAAAGCTTTAAATCAGTTCACTATTCTAGATAAATTTTAATAGGATAAGTATGTTCACCAATAGGTAGGTATTGTGTTAGTAGAGCTTGTTTCATTGTGGTTAACATAAACAAATAATAGTTGTAGGGAGATTCTCTTCTTGTTACCACAACGTGACTTGAAACGAGAAGCTATCAAACTTTTGTTTTGAATTAAAATGTGGCATTATACATAACATTGTTGCATCCTTATCACCATCTGCTTTTAAGAAAGATAAGACGTGAATAAGTTTTATTGTTTATTATAATAATACAAGGCAAGCTTAATGTCTAAGTTTTGAAGAAAAAATAAATAAATAGCCACACATGCACGTCTATGGGTAATATGGCTCACAAAAGTCATAAGATTTTCTTAAATTTAGAACCTTGCAAGAGGAAAAATCATCCATTATGGCAATCCTAGTTGACATAGTTGTTTTATATTGATGAGACTTACAATGGAATTGCCTTAAAATTAATTAATGACACCGGGCAAACATTAGCATCATTTGGTGGCACACAAAGATAAATGATAGAAGTCAGCATTGCTTGGCATCGATGCTTTGTGCTGCTAGTGATTTTAAATGATGGTTGATGACAATTACGGGGTGTTATCGACATCAAAAATCAACAATGACTGATGATGAATATCAAGTGCTTGTAACTAGATTTCTAAAATGAGGTTTAAAATTCTATCCTTTGAAACTTATTTGAATTTATAGAAGTAAATACTATTGATAAGCTTTTGGAGTTGTTGTTCCCTTTTTTCTTACCAAAAATAAAACATTTTATCAAATATCCACATATTCAATAAGTTGTCTGCATCATGATATATTAATGATATCAAAATTGAGTGATCTTAAGCTCATCAATTTTGTATCATCGAGCCATCCATTTCAGTTATAACCACACAAAAACCGAATCTCATTTAGCTTCTCAAATAGTCAAAAAAATGTCAGCTATATTTCTAAGTATTTTAGATACATTTGAACTCCAACCTAGAAGTTCCTAATGTCAAGATCATCTTACAGAGAGCATCACTTCAATCACAACTTCGCTAAAAATAGAATTCAAAAAATCCCAAATTAATGCTCTAAACTTTTTATATAAATATGACATCAAGTTTCCATATTCCTTATGAATTCTCTTAGCAAATCAAGCTCCATTTTTGCACATATATATATTATAAGATAATATATAATTTTTTAAGGCACAGTAATCAACTAAAGGCTGGACAAGCATTGTGGTGGCATAAAGGAATTGCACAAATATTTTATTCTGGGAATCGAATCATTCTAAAGGGCACCAATAAATATACATATGCTTAAAATCTAAGCTAACATGGTCCAATATTTGATGTGAAGCTTAATGAGCTAAAAGCTAAATGCCAACTTTGCTAAGTATACTTAAGTGGTTGATCAACCCTTAGCACATCAAGGAAGATCATTGTCCTCCTCACAAGTAATTAATGCCTCTGTCTAATTGGCATGAAAAATTCTTCAGTTGCCCAAAACAATCATATTCAAAGTAATTAATTTGTGCAATTTTGCCTATAGAAATAATTTATTTACTTAAAATGCACGGTTTACAGCTTTACATGTCACACATTTCTTATGTTTTTACATATTCAATGTCTAAATTATGATTTTTACGTATCATTTTAGGGGGGTTTGTATAGGGTGGTTGTAACTTCTTAAAATGTGGCTGTAAAATTGTGGCAGAGAGATTAAAACAGCTTACCACAACATAATTTTCTAGAAAATAACAAGAAAGTAAGACCTCCTTTTCCGTTGCGGCGAGAAGAACGCGAAGAGATGAAACAAATGTCGTTTGGCTGAGCTTCACTTCCATCGCAAAGTCCGCACCGGCAAAATTCTGAACGCGGCGAGGCCTTCACTATCGGGGCGATGTTTCGTTTTAGGTAGTAAAAATTACCAATTTGTCCTTTGAATTGTCGCCGAGATTGGCCTCCTCCATAGTTCTTCTCCCAATTTTATTTCTTCCTTTCGGTTTTCTCGTGGCTGGAGCACTATCG